AAAGGCAAGTAACAGCTCAATATAATAATAGAAAAAACAATAAGACAAGCAAAAAAAAAAAATGCAACAAACAAAAAGGCAAGTAACAGCTCAATATAATAATAGAAAAAATAAACTAACACAGAAAGAAAAGAAAATAGTTTACTTGAGCTCAGAACATACTGATAAAAAATATTAAAAATCCGTCCTAAATTTAGAATATATAAAAATATATTTTGAAAAATATTGAATTTTAATAATAGTTGGAATGCATCATTTCTTAGTAACCAATCTCAACAAATCGAAAAGATCAAGGAAACAGACTTATCATAAACCAACCATAATAATGAAATGAACCAACAAAAGAGCATCAAACCACAAAAAACAGCCCTTGATATGTTCATATTATGAGAAGCTTCTCAGTCCAATTTAGCATTTTTAGTTTTTGTCAAATGATACAATAGGAAACAAAATTCCAAAACCTTTGATAAAGGTTAAAAGCATAATGGTGTAAAAATATCAAATGATGGATAAAGTGCCCATAAGTTTAAGCTTTTCAGTTTGAAACATATGTAGAGAATGATATAACAAGCTTAAATTTTGCTAACCTTTTGGCTCTCTCTCTTTAATAGTAGGTGTAAACAATTGTTTTTAGCATAATGAAATGGATGCATGATGAATTATTATAATATTGTAAAGAGTTGACCATTACCAGCATAAACTAGCAGAAAGCCATAAACAATAAGTAGTAATCCAACTAGCATAAGAGTCAGCTTGTAGAAAAATAACAACCAATACAAAGAGATCAAGCTAGATAAAATCAAAAGAAAGCAGCAGTAAATGTAGTTTTAAAAAAGCCTTCCATGAATCTATAATATTATAACATACAACACTAAAAAAAAACCTTAATTTAATCCAAGTCCAAAAAATTTCAATGAATTTAATAACTTCTTCTGGAATGATATGAACACAAACATACATGGTTTTGTAGCAATATAAATAGAAGCGTCAACAATGTACTTAATATTGTAGCTATTTATTCAAGTTAAAGATGCCAATAAACAATCATCTTTTTGTCTAAAAAATATGGATGAATTCAACAAATCTGATTGATACTTGAGGCAACCAAATGCTAGAGGAAAACTAAAAGCATATGATAGTCAACAAATCTAACTTATAAATATTTGAATTGATGAAAAGTAAAAAAAAAAATAACCTCATAGAAGGACAACCCGCAAGGGATAACATAAGACTTAAGATATTTCAAAAAACTTATTACGATCAATCATAGATGGGATGACAAAATGATATAACTGATAGTAAACTGCATAAATTTATTGCAAAAAAAATGTATATGCAGGTACTGATTGAATATCTTAAAGATGCCTCTAAAGAGCTATCAAATGTCATCATCAACATCAATGCCCTTTAACTCTCCAACTAGCCTATTTGATGAAGAGAAATTAAATATTTAAGCAATTAAGGCCGTAAATGATGTTCTTGCTTCCACAAAAAGAAACTCACAATAAAATAAAATAAAATAAAGCAAACAAATCCAACAACAACGATATTTAGTATAGTAAAACATGAGAGATGATATCCACCAATGACAATTTAACAAGTTTGTTTGCTCTTTTACCTGGTTATTTGCCAAATCATTGGGACCAATTTCATTCTGAAAATAACTTCTTTCATTTCCTAATAAGAATACTTCCAACCAGATGAATAATTTTCCCTCAAGTCATTCTCAACCTTGAATCCTGTTGCTTGCAACGTTTCAACCGCTGATGAGCAAGCTGCAAATATGAACTGTGTATTTAAGGTAACTGAACTAAAATAACTTGGAAACTAATAGTAAATGCACAGAATATAAATAGAATATCCAAAAAACTCTGAATTAAAATCTAATACAGATATAAGGGCTTAGATTTGTAAGTGTTTCCCTTATAATTCAAAGGGCTACATAATTTGATTTTATCATGCCAACTTTTAAAATATCAAAATTCATTGAAAGGGTTGCATAATCTATTTTTGCCATCCAAAATTTTATTTATCAATATTTTGATCTAAAGGGTTGCAAAATTTCATTTTGCCACCCAACTTTATATTTATCAATATTAATGTAAATGACAGTCTAATTTCATTCATGCTAACTTTTGAAATATAAAATTATTCTAAAGCGCTTGATAATTTTATTAAATCGTGCTAAGTTTAGATGTTTTGCATAACCACAGCCTCTCTAACCATAAATCCATCATAAACTCAAATGAACATACTTGCAAATAAAAGGCAACACGATAAAAATAGAAAAATAAAAGCATAAACTGATACAACACAAAGAATCAAAATTAATAACCATGCAATAGAAACTAGCAAATAAATAGCTGGCAATCAAAATAAAGGCAATATAAATAGTGTTCAAGTTCATAATAAGTTCAACAAATATGAAAGTTCCAATTTTTTAAAATAAAAAACCATGGAGACGTAGAGTTCATGTCAAATATTTGGTAGCAACGTGCTAAATTTCTTCTCTTATAATATCTCTTGCTGAAAATAATAATGCATAAATTAACTATAAATAATCAGTAATATAAATAAATAAATTTATGTAAAAAACTACACTGAATGAAAAAAAATTACCAAAGATGTTTTCACATTCTTTTGCAAATATCTGATCCAACTTGCTGCACAAATTAACACATTAACGGTTCTAGTTGATAAACTATTTCTATAATCACCTAACACCCTTTCCCCGACACTAAAATCAAATTCTGAGGCAACTGTAGTTATAAGTATTGATAAAATATCTTAATTCATAGTGAGAGGCAAGGATATTTAAATATATTCGTTTTCCACCAATCAAACACATAACATAGCATTGCAGACGACCAATCCCTCTTTATAATATACTTGCAAATCAGGCTTGGATGGTTTCACAAAACCACAAGCCACAACAAAATCTTTAAATCCAACCATATAGTCAAATTGAAACAGACAAAACATGAAATCATTTGTAGAGAAAGATCCATCTTGTGAAACATTAGTTGTTGAACTAGAAATCGTAGAGTCAGCAACATAACTAACATAAATTTCCCATAACGTATCTTGGACTAATTTAAGATTACAATCAATGTCATTAGGCATAAATATATTTGAAAATGTGAAACTAATAAACTTAAATATTAATCTGGTCTAAAATTGCTACAATGAACATTAGAATATTTCTAAAATTTCACTTGCATATTAAAAGTCATATTTTTCATATAATCATATTCTGAAATTTACTCCTCAATGGGAATCTTCTTCACATTCATAACAACAGACAAATGTATATTTATTATAGAATAAAGAATGCAAGAAATTATCTTAGTGACATTGTTGAAAACTGAAAGAAATTTCATAATTTTTTCATATCCCAACCAATAAGAATTGATAGACAACCATTTGCATTTGATATCTCTTAGTACATGGTGTTGAAAAATATTAAGATAAATAAATGCAAACTCTAGCATATTAAAAGCGGAGTTCTACCAAGTTGAAATATCAATCAATAAGGACCTTGCTGTTGGAACTGTTAATTATTTAGCAATCTCCACAAACTTATGCAACATTGTTTGTGATTTTCTTAAATATTTTACTAACTCACCAATATCGTGAATGATATCCTGAACTTCTTTTAGCCCATTATGGACTATAATATTGACAATATACACATAATATTTCACATGAAAAAAAAAACAAAAAAATGCAAATTTTCATTATGATTGAAAATTGACTTTCAATGAACTGACAGTCACATCATTGCTACTTGCATTATCAAAAGTAATTATTGAAATTTCATCTTAAAGTTTCCACTCCATTATAAAATCACAAATAATATCACAAATGTAAGTACCAACATGCAAAGGCTCTGACTCAATGCAATTAATAATTACCTTTTTCAAGGTCCAAGATGAGTTAATGTAATGAGCAGAGAGTCACATATTTCTCGGTCTTCTTATTTGCTAATAATTCTATAATTACCAAAAAACCCCATGAAAAGTCAATGATAATGGTGTCAATATGTACTTTTGCAATACTGAGACATGCATATAAATAGAGAGTTCATAGCATAAATAAATGCTACACTCATTTTTATTATTCTTTAGATTGCTCTCTCTTTCTTTCTAATCACTTCCTAGCAGAACGTTCTATTATTTGGGTTTGCTTTCCAAATACTTTTGGATTAAATAAATAAATTTTTAATAACATCGATTTAAAAAAAAAAAACTTCCCATATATACTTAATAATTTCATTCATCAAATCTATAAGAAAAACTACAGAATAATTCTCAACGCAAAATAAAAAAACATTATCCTTAATAGATTTTTAATTCCTTTGTTATTTTCACTTTATATTTAGCAAATCTATGAGAGAATATTATAAAAATATCTTTTCCATAATATTATGAAGTTTTCTTCTATTTTGTGATGTCATGAACATGTTTTAGGTGTTAAAATATGTTGATCTAGAATTTAGATGTATGAATAAAAAAATAAACTACTATGTTAATAATTATTTCTATGGGATGGCTTTTTTCATGAATATATAGAAGTGCCAAAATAATCCAAATCTTTAAATTATGATTTAAATAATTTATATAGAGTATCATTAGAACTCATTCTTAAAATAAATATGATTATTTTGATATTTTTATAAATTTTAATTTTAGAAAAAGTCTCATATAAACAGTCGAAAAAATAGTTTGACACTAAAATATTTTGGCACGTAAAGGGCCTATTTGGGGCAGCTGTAGCTTATTGAATAATCTATTGATAAGCTGGTTAAAAATAATATGGTGATAAAATAGTTGACTATTATAATTTTTTATTTATGTTAAAAATAATATGTTGATAAAATAGTTGACTATTATAATTTTTTATTTATATTTTATTGGAAAAGTCAGATCACTGCTAGAAAGTTATCACCACATCTATTTAAAAAAATTGGTGCCAAAAACCAAAGAAGCTCCCCAAAATGACCTAAAACACTACTTGTTAAAAACGGCGGGGTTGCCCAAAGGCTGGCTCCGCGACCACGAGGAAAGGGTTTTTTGAAGTAATTTTTTGAACCAGACCACTCCACTCTACTCATGGCGCTACTCCGTTCCCCTCCTCTCCAACTCCGCTTGCTCACTCAACGCCTCATCCACTCGTCAACCATACGCTTTCGTTCCCAGTCGGTGGCCTTCTTCCACTGTTCCTGCATCTTGTCCCGGAACCATCGCATGGGTTTGGTCGGCGTCCGACGAAGGTTCGGAGTGGGAGTGAGGGCTTTTATGTCTTCAACCTTCACTTCTGAATCTCTACAAGGGAAGCCGGGTTCTTTAAGTTATGGTCCTGACCAGATTCAGGCGAGTTTTCTGCTTCAAGGGCACATTTACTTGTGCAGTTTTATCAGATAACGGGCGTTTTTATGAGCAAAAACAAAATTTGGGCGGGCTTGGGGCTATGATGTGGTACAATGTATTCTTCTGACCTTAGGGTGGTTTTCAGACCGAAGGAAGAGTGGTGTGCTTGTAGAAATACATATCTTAAACTTCCACAATTCGTCAGCGTTTTGGCTGCATACAATGGGATAATCAATCGGCGAAGTTTAGTTTGCTTTTATTGAGGAAACTACATTGGAATGTATATTACGGATGCGTGCACATTTAAAGTGAGAAATTTCATAAATTTAAAAATATGTTTATTCCTATTGAATTGAAGCTAAGAAATTTATTCCCTGTTTATGCATTCTCTCTTTTGGCTGAGCACTCAATTTACCGAAATCAGCAAAGTTCATGGTTTCCTGATTGTGATGTTTCGTATTTAGTGGTGGGCTTCTCTCTGCTTAGGTTTTAGAAGGACTCGATTTTCTGCACAAGAGACCTGGAATGTATATTGGAACTAGGAAATTTACTCCGCATTCATGCGTTTTTTCTTTTTGCCGAGCAATCAATTTAAAGATCATTAAAACTTTGTGGTTTCCTTTATGATGCTTTGTATCACGTGGCACGTTTCTCTCTGCTTAGGTACTTGAAGGACTTGATCCTGTGCGCAAGAGACCTGGAATGTACATTGGAAGCACTGGACCCAGAGGGCTACACCATTTGGTAACCACCAAATGCTGCTTTTTTCAGTTAAATAATTACATTAAAATTTATTGTTTTACTGCGTTTTTCTTTGTTTTTTCCTCTTCTTGTGTTGTCATTGTGTCCAGGTTTATGAGATACTAGATAATGCCGTCGATGAAGCTCAAGCAGGATATGCTTCAAGAGTAGATGTTGTTTTACATGAAGATAACTCTGTGAGCATCACAGATAATGGAAGAGGGGTATGTGCATTGCGATTCCTCTTTTGCATACATTCAAGAAGTGATTTAAGTCTGAGCCTGTTCCATTGGATTATTTGCTCAATCTTATTAAAGAAGATTGATTAGTTTGCCTAAATTGTTTCTTTACGCTTCACTGATGTGTTAGAACTCTTTTTAGGAATTGATATTAAATTTAGGGTGTGATTTTTAACAGCTTAGAGTTTTTCTTTTGGTAAGATGTCAAATAAAGTAATATTCATGGGCAAATATATAGCATTTTTTCATTTTTTATCTTAAACTTATTGTAATAGTCTGTTAGGTTGGATTGATTTTTCATGGTTAAATTCAATCTTTAATTTTGACTAAGAACAAAGCTTATTGGATGTTTTGTTTTGTAAGTTATTGTAATTAACCTATATCATTTGCATGGTGTTTATTTCATTCTATTGATATATTTATATGCTATTCAGATTCCAATAGATTTACATCCTGTGACAAAGAAGTCCTCATTGGAGACAGTGTTGACGGTACTTTTCTCACTTTATGTCAATATTCTGATCTTTCATTGCATATTTCTAACATTTTATTGGTATCATAAGTTATCTTTTTTTGTTGTGATTAAGTTTAGTTTTAGTTTGAATTGGTGTATGTGCTATTTCATTTTGTCTTCAAAGAGAAGTGTACTCTCATCCAAAAAGTCAAGCAAATAAATTTGCTGAACGATGCTTCAATTTAGCCTGATATTGTAGGTTTTTTAGTCGTTTTTATTTATTCATTGGATCAATTTGATAAAAGTAATGCTTGTGTGCGAAACGAAACAAGCATTGCCAACTAAAGTTATAACATCAATTAAAAACTTGATTTAACTCATAATGAGAATTCTAATAAAGTTATCTATACTAATTCAATTGGAATTTATTTATTTATTTTTTCCTGGCGTTTTGAAATACGAAGTAAAAACTTTGGGAAAAAATGAAATTTCATGAATAGTTTGATAACTTCGTCAATGAAGGAAGCAATAAAAGAGAGATTTTTTCAAATATGGTCAAATTTGAAAGAATGTGTGGTTTTTGGAGGAGAAAAATAATTTTTTCTTTTCAATTTCATATGAAACTATTATAAGATAAATAGAGGGAGATGACTCTCACATTAAGAAAAGCATAAATCAACCATAATTTCTCATGATGAGAAAGTAAACAAGATTTATAACATACAAATAATACAAAACTCTAATAAAAGAAGCTATGCTAAAAATAAAGATTCCTAAATAATTTCAACACCCCCCCCCTTAAATTTGGAGCATATATATCCATAATTTGATTCCTAAATAATTTCAACACCCCCCTTAAATTTGGAGCATATATATCCATAATTTCAACACACCCCCTCAATTTGGGGGCTTTTCCCTCGGTCTTTGATATTGAATTCCGAAGCAGCATGACCGGTATTCCTTGTCGCTGCCTGTGGAATAGATTAAGATTTTAGCCCCTCTCTCTCTCTCGACTTTCCCGATCATGGTCGAGGGTAATCTCTCCTTGGTTTCTATCATTGATTTTCGCGAGCCTTTGTTAAAGCCACTGGATCTCCATCTTATCTCAGTCTGGGTAGTTTTCGGCATGCATATTTGTGATGACATGATTACAGTTTGGGTTTGGAAGGGGTGGTTGATGATATAAACAAAAATTTTGGGGAGAGGTAAGGCGAATTTGAGCAAACTCTAGGGTAGGATTAAGCTTAGAATAGCTCTGATACCAAATACATAAGTTTAACCCAAATCATAAAAAAAAAGAAACATTATTGCTGAAATTCAAATGTTCCAACAATGATTCTTCGAAATAAGAATAAAACAACGCAAAACATGAGGTGGCAGGGGTGGACACCGTTTGGGCAACAATCGTGTGGACAACTTGTGGTTTTGAGACAACAACTGGAGGGTTGGAGGGGGCGTTGTAGGAGTGGGAAGCATTGGAGTGAGCTGGAGCAGGGTCGGGAAAAGCGAGGAAGAGCTGCAGCAGGTTTGGAGTGGGAGAGTAGGGCAGTGTGACAGGTTTGGTACGAATTGTAGGTGGTTGCTGTCGGCCTGGAAGGGCTTGAGGAAAGGGTGACAAGCTTGGGAGGAGCATGAGGTTGCGATTTGTCTGGAAGGTTGGAAAGGATGGCGGCTGTAAGTGTGCCTGGATGGCGACAGTAGGAGGGGAACAAGCAGAGATAATTAACATTTCAGACGAGTTACGACCTTAACAAGGGAGAAATGCCTGGAGGCATAACTCTGAAATTAGAAAACAATCAAAACTAAATTTTAAGCAAGCAAACAACATACATATAATATTTAATGATAGATAGAATAAGAAGGGGATAGAAAAGGAAGGGGATAGAAAAGGAAGGGGATATAATAGGAAGGGAATTCTCTCTGTGGAATGGAATCAAATAGAAAGAGGGGGAGGATCGGGAGCAGTACTCCCACCCAATGGCAACGGGAGGGAGGGCCGGTCCAGCCTCTTGTTAGATTGAGACTTACCGTTGCTGAACACACTATCGGTTCATCCAGACCCTAAGCCCCGCGTCAATATATCTGTGGAAATTCAAGAAGGTGAGATTGACCAACCACCTATAAGGATCTTACTGGATTGAATGGAAGATATCATTGTAAACTCCTTGATTTGTTTTTATTCTCTTACTATTGATGTTTCTTTTATTTTATTTCAGACTTATCTCCTTTATATATTTGAGAGTAGATGTATTATGAAAGTTTGTAAATTAGGGCATACAATTGCTTGTACATATGCCTTATGTGTAAATAATGATAGTATGCAACTAATTTTTCCTCATAAAGTTTGTTTTTTTTTCCATGATATTAGAGCTTGGAAACAAATCCTAGCTCCTCTTCCTCCGCTAAAATTTTTACCTGCAGCCGCCAATTTTTGTAAACCCATTGATGGATCCTCTTGCAGGCGGGTTCTTCCATCGGATCCACACTGTCGGGTGTCAACAACCACAAGTTAAATGCCGTTTGGGAGTTTTCACCTCTTGTGGAAATTATTTTTCTTTGTAGCAGATATCATTCTCTGTGTAGTGGAAATCAATTTTCCTCTCCAGTGGAAGTCGCTATAAGACGTCGCCAGGTTTCTGAGCTTTCTGACAGAGCCGTACCTGCTTTTCTCAACCAGATTTAGGTGAGATGCTAACACTACCATGACTCGGTCTGGGCGTTAGAATCAACCTTGGCAGGAACAGCTCTTAGACGCTATCAATCAAATTTTCGTTTTTTATTTTTCTTTCACTATTGGTGATTAAAAATATGAATGAAAGAACCACTAGAAATTTGAGATCAAATTAAAGCAGTTATAAATTTACCTTAGGTCAGTTTGTCTGCATCTTTTATAAATATTTTCTTTTATGTTGATTATCTTTTAATAAATTAATTAAAACAGAAAAGTTAGCTTGAAATAATGGTAAGTCAAAAAGTTAGTGAGTACTCTTACTTCTAAATCGTAGTAATACATCGGAAAAAAGAAGAAATATGCCTGCCAGTTAAACTTTATATAAATCAATCTAACTACATTTGATGATTTGTACTATTTGATACGATTATTCAATGTAATTCCAAACATCCACTCTTTTTTGATGTATTGTTTGTATATCAATATCTTCTTAATTTGTATACAACTGTCACAAATTATGCTAAGTAAGATACATCAATATCAATATCTTTTTCATTTATGTGCATGAGTACCTTAACACTCCCCTGCTAGTACAATAAAGAGTTGAACTCTATCATAGCCAAACTTGGACATGCAAACAATTAAAACGTTAAATCTCATTCTTATTTTTTTTTCATGACATTCAATACATTGTTTCCTCATATCTTTATTCACAAAAAATTAGAGTTTTATGAGCATGCAACTTGCCAATTTGCTAATGTATATTATCTGTTGCAATACAATTTTTTACATATTTCTTTATCATCCATAGTGATATTTTGAGACCTTCAAAATCAAAGTCCATCAATGGACATAGATAATTTGTTTCTTTCATTGATGATCACTTTAAAATCAGTTGGATATTCCTCATGAAGGAGAAATCTAAAACAATACAAATCTTTCAACCATTCTATGCCATGGTTTAAAGTCAGTTCCAATGCGAAATTCAGATTATTAAAACTGTTAATGCAAATGAATACTTCAACTCTGACCTTAGACCATTCATTGTAAAAAAATATATCATCTATATGAATTTTTGTGTTGAGACTCTACAATAAAATGTGATAGCTGAGATGAAGAATTGACATATCTTTGGTTAACTAGGTTTATGGTGCTTTTTCCTCTATAATAAAATGTGATAGCTGAGATGAAGAATTTTCATATCTTTGGTTAACTAGGTTTATGGTGCTTTTTCACCATGTCCCAATAGTTTTTTTAGGGAGATGTTGTGCCCACAATCACTATCTCATTCATAGAATGTCAAGCAGGGTGCTTGGATTCATAGCCTCTCTCTTTGTTTTGTTTAAAAAATACCCTCATGTTAGAGTCTTCTCATCCAATTTTCTTCTAAAAATATTTTTGCTCTCTTTTGTCCACATTTTCCAATCAAACCCCACAGAGTTTGATTGATGAATGTTACATTTTTAAAAAAATAATCCTACTGCCTCAAATTTCAAATTCAGGGGGAGTCTAGGTGAATATCAGATTTGAGATACTATTCTGAATATCCACACTAAACTAGAGTTTCAACAACCTATTCTCCTTTCCTCTAACCATTCTGTCTCTCAAGTTCCAACACTTGAGGATATCCAACCTGGGATTTAAAACACGAAAATACACAAGGAATTTTGTAGGAGAAATAAATCCACTAAGCAGGATAAGAACAATATGTAACCGCATGACTGTTCACAACCAAACTTGAACATACACATCTCTGAAGTTTCAAGAGGTGGAATTCAAAAATGAAGATAGGGAAAGTTGCACGAATTATCATATACATGAGTATGTTACCTATAAGAAATTATTAACTTATAAATTCTTTGTATCTAATATTGATAGTGTGCAAATACTCAAATCTATTCATGAAGTGCTTCAATGTCCAGAATGAAAAAAGACAGTTGAAGAGGAAATCCAAGCACTTGATCAAAAGGACATATCGATTTTTATAAAGATTTTTTAGATAAAAGATCCATTGAATAGAAATGAGTGTTCAATGTTAAGTACAAAATTAATGAGAACATTGAGAAATTCAAGGCTATGTTGGTGGCCAAAAGTTTCACTCAGTCTTATGGGATATACCTTTAAGAGACTTTTGCACTGATGATCAAGCTAAACAATGTAAGAGGTCTTCTTTCTTTGGCAGTAAACAAAAAGTGAGAACTGCAATAACCTGATATCAAGAATTACATTTTGAATGGAGACCTTAAGACAAAAGTTTATATGGAGGTCCCATTAAACTGAGAATATCACTCTATGACCTCAAACGATCTCTGCGGACTTGGTTTGACCGTTTGCCATGACTATGAAATCAAATGGGTTTATTCAATGTCAATCTAATCATACACCATTCATAAAATCAACACAATAAGGTAAGAAAGCTATACTTATTGTTTATGTAAATGATATGATCCTAATAGTAGATGATGAAAAAGAGATTGGGCAGATTAAAGAGATTCTTACCTCAATTTAAAATCAAGGATCCAAGAGCTATAAAATACTTTCTAGGCATGAAAGAGAATTGCGATATCTCAAAGAAAGTACATTCTAAACCTACTAAAAGCAACAGAGATGTTGTGGAGTAAACTTGTTGAGATTATGAAATTTAACTAAAAGTTATATTTAGGTGGAGAAAAGACACCAACAGAAAAAAGCCAAAAAGGCAAATAACGGAGATTGGTAGAAAAATTTATCTACTTATCACACACTAGACCTAATATTGCTTTTTTCTTTTAACATTGCGAGTCAACATATGGGTAGTCCAAATGAGAAACATCTGTAGATGATTTACAAGATATCGAGGTTTTTTTAGAAGACTCCTGGCAGAGGGTTATTGCTTTAGAAATAAAAAAATAGAGATGTGGAAGTTTACACTAATGCTTGGGCAGGAGAACTCACTGATAAAATTTTCACATCTGGGCACTGTTTCTATGTATGGTAAGATCTTGTCACATGGAGGGGCAAGAAGCAAGCAACGGTCTCTAGAAGTTGTGCATAATTTGAATATCGGGCACTTGCTTTTGGAATTTGTGAAGGAATGTGGATTCAAAGGTTATTAAATGATTTGGGATATTTCACGGTCAATCTCATAAAGATGTAAAAAATCACTTGTATCATGGTGGGATCAACCACATTGAGATTTATAGGCATTTTATCTCTAAAAAGGTCAATTGTGGCATTATTCACTTGATCTACATACTCATTTCCTAATTGATGATGTCTTCACCAAAGCTCTACCTACAGACAGTTTCACTTAGTTGAATATCAGGCTGGGCCTTTTCAACCTCTACGACCCACCTTGAGGGGAAGTGTGGAAATTCAGGAAGGTGGGACCGGCCAACCACCCACAAGGATCCTAGAGTATTGAATGGAAGACAACTTTGAAAACTCTTTGATTTATTTTTTTTCTCTTCCTATTTATGTTTCTTTCATCTTATTTTAAAATTATCTTTTTTTCATATTTAAGATTTGATTTATTAGTAAAGTTTGTAAATTTGGAGATACAATTGTCTATCTTTGTACCTTATATATGAATAATGAAAGTATGCAAGTAATGCTTCCTCCCAATGTTTGTTTTCCTTCAATATCCAAACTTTGTATCTCTGTATTTCTTATCTCTATGTCAGATATGAGGTTATAATTGAACAAATTTTATTTGCATGCGCCATATTTCTCTTAATTGGTGGTCATTTTGTTGGATGCAACCTTTTTAGCAAAACTTTGATTAAATGATCATCCAAAGTTAGTAAATTATCAACAAATATTGAAATAGCACCTAAGATGCTCTTTCTTATAAAAGAATTATCAAAATATGGTTTACATAGAAAAGTAGACGTCAAACTTGTAACATATGATGGAGTAATGTGATATTAGTGATATGCGGCCGTTTTTAATAGTGGATATATCAATTTAGAATTGACTTAGAACATTTATGAATGTAATTCGTAGCATGTTTCTAAATTGCTATGGCTTTTTGAATAACGAAGAAGGCAGAAATTTTTTTTAATTTTATCCCTTATTGTATGCAATAACGGGCCTGCATATAACTATTATACTGATGTAAAACCGTTAAGAACGCCTTGTTGTTTTGTGGGGGTTTCCTTCTCTAGATAAATGAAGTTACGGTTTGTGATTCTCTACATCAGTACAATTAATTTTTGGGAAATTTACATACATAGCAGCAATTCTTATGCATTTACATATTTCACACCCAAATTTTCATATTTACCCACATACCACTCTACCTATGCTGAAAAGGCGGATTTCAGTCATGAATAGTAATAATTAGTGGTAGATTTGATGTGGTAAGAAAGAAATGAGTGTTATGTAAGTAAATATGAAGATTTGGGTGTGAGATCTGTAAATGCATAAGAATTGCGTTCTATATATGTAAATGCCCCTTAATTTATTTTTGTATAAATTCCTTTTGTTTGCCAGATTTTCTTGATGGATGCAGGATTGAATTTGAAGACAATTTTGGAAATTCCTTGATATGTTTTTATTCTCTTTCTATTTATATTTCTTTTATTTTTTTCAGAATCATCCTTTTTTCATATTTAAGATTTGATAGATTTAGAAAGTTTGCAAATTAGGAGATACTATTACTGATGTATGTACGTTATGTGTGAATAATGAAAGTATGCAAGTCATTTTTCCTCCCAAAATATATTTTCCTTCAATATCCAAACTTTGTATATCTTTATTTCGCATCTCTGTGTAAGATACGAGGTTATAATTGAACAAAATTTATTTGCAGGCGCTATACTTCTCCTAATTGGTGGCCATTTTGTTGGATGCAACCCTTTTAGCAAAACTTTGATTAAATGATTATCAAAAGAAGTTAGTAAATTAACAATAAATGTTGAAATAGCACTTAAGATAGTTTTTCTTATAAAAGAATTATCAAAATATGGTTAGTAGACGTGGAACTTGTAACATATGATGGAGTAATCGTGATATTAGCGATATGTGGCCTTTTCTAATAGTGGATAGATCAATTTTGAACTGACTTAGAACATTTAATAATTTAATTCCTACAATGTTTCTAAATTGCTATGGTTTTTTGAATACCGAAGAAGGCAGAAAATTAGTTTTAATTTTATCCCTGATTGTATGCAATAAGGGGCTTGCATAGAACTATTTAACTAATGTAAAACAGTTAACAGTGTCTGGGTATTTTGTGGGGGTCCTCTAGATAAATGAAGTGATGGCCTGTGATTCTCTAAATCAATAGAAGTAATTTTTTTATCTATAAATTCCTTTTTTTTCAGATTTTCTTGATGGATGTAGGGTAAATTTTGGACTTCACAATTGTTTCCTGATAGCCCTAAATCCCTACTTTTCTGATTTCATGCAGGTGTTACATGCAGGAGGGAAATTTGGTGGTTTAAACAGTGGTTATAGTGTCTCCGGGGGACTTCATGGTGTAGGCTTGTCTGTTGTTAATGCGCTATCAGAGGTTTGTGTGCAGTTATTTCTGTTAATGTATGTATGTATGATTTTTTTCTACACGGCCTTACTCTTCCTCAATTTTGAACTTAGAAGTTGGGGGCAGTTGCATAAATAACTCACAATTCTCATGTATTTACATATTTCACACCTAAACTTTAATAGTTACATAACACTCAAATCCTTAATATCACATAAAAAATATCACTTTTTTTACCTTTTTAAAGTGAAATACCATTTTCATGCATGAGTTTAAAGCACCAAAATGTCGTGTGTAAATATAGAAGTTTAGATCCGTGACAGATAAATACATAAGAATTGTGTGCTAGGTATGTAAATTTCCCTAAAACATAGAGAATTTTACATACATACCACACAATTTTTATCTATATACATACACAGAAAGTTTGATATTTACACTTAATAACACCTTGGTGTTAGAAACCTATGCATAAAAGGTGCATTTCACTTTTAACAAAATAGTGATGATGTTATTTTTGATGTGATGTTAAAGTTTGTGTGGTATGCATGTAAATATGAATGTTTATGTGTTAGATATGCATATACATAAGATTTGTTTGTTATGTACGTAAATGGCCACCTAGAAGATATTATGGTATCGCTCACTTCATTCATGTTGTCTTTCATTAGAAGTGCTGTTATTATGCAAGTGGGCTCTAAAATGATCATTACTTGTATTTTATGTTAAACCAGTAAAATCATTATCATGCATTATGAATTGAAGTTGATTGATTGATGCTTTAAAGCCATTATTTTTTTTTGAGGTAGCATAGATTACTCTTCTCCATCGTTGTGCATTTTTGTTTAATTACAGCTTGCGTTCTTATGTGACGATGTTTAGGCATTGGAAGTTACAGTCTGGCGTGATGGCAAGGAATACTTCCAAAACTTTTCTCGTGGAAAGCCTTCAACTGCTTTAACCTATCAGGTGCTACCAGCTGATTTGTGTTCTCGCCAAGGGACTCGGATCAAGTTTTGGCCTGATAAAGAGGGTTTGCTTTTTTTTTTCCCCCTAAATACAATATTTCCACGAACTTCCATTGTATTGGTTAATATCATCTATTTTTTTCTTTATAGAATTTCCCTTTTTCCAATTTAGTTTTTACTACAACCATTCAGTTTGACTTCAATACTATTTCTGGACGCATTAGGGAGCTGGCTTTCTTAAATCCTGAGGTATTGCATGCTCCATTTCTTTGGCATTTTTTGGCATATCCAGTTATCATTTGTTAATTTCTTATATTTCTTGAATTTAGAAATTTTCGTAGGCAGAAGAACATATTATTTTAATTATTGTACTTAAAAGTTTATTGTTTTTGATGAAGCTACATACCAAACTTGTATTCCTCGAATTTCTAAATGGTGTCCTATTTTCTTTGTAAATTTTATCCGTTATTTTCTTGGCAATATTTTTGATGGAGTAAATATTTTGTTGATTTATGATTGTTTAGTTTTACTGTCACGCTGAGAACAATGACGACATCTATAAGATGCACTGACTTGTTTAGGCTCATAACTAGGCAGAAAAAAGTAGATGAATTGGTTATATCAAGTGTTTAAGGAATTTAATGAAATTTTGTGCGCACAAGCACTCGATGAATATCTTCATGAGTACAGCGAAAGCTGAAGACAAAATGCAGTAATAAAATTCACTAAAGTGCTTACAAATGACTTTATGGATAAGGCACAAGCTAGCAAATCTATTATGCATTGGAGCCTAATTAATATGGGGGATAAAAGTTGCTTGCGAGCACAAGTGTCTCATTTATTTTTGATATGGGGGAGAAAATTTTCCCATTTGCACCAGCCCTATGATTTATATCATTTCAATCGTAATGCATTCGAACACTTTCAATTAAAGATATCACCATGTCTTGTATTGCTGTTAATTGTTTAAGATTAGATGGGAGTGATTGGTTCTGCATAGTCAATTCAATCAAGAACTTAGTTTTCCATCATTTCTTGTTCATATCAACGGAGAGGTTTGGGAGGTCATGCAATCATTGGATTATCTCCTCTCAGATTTCCAGAGCAGATAGTTTGATGTTCAAAAGGCCATCCACTCCACTTTATTTGAGGTCTAGAGATTGAAACTTGATTCTAAAAGGCCTTGAAACTGAAACTAGTTAAAAGTAGCGGGAACATAAGTAAATCTTATTAAGCAACTGAATCAGGGTTACAAACTCGACACAAATTGAAAAGGAAATACAATAACACCAATCTCCGGCGAGGTGATTGGAGAGTAGCATTTGTAAGGGGGGATTGTAGATTAGGCGTGGAAAAGTAATGCATGGGTGGTTGGGGGCTCGGATTT